TAAATCAAAGAGACCATTGAAAAAAAAAACAAGGCAATGGAAATACATGAGAAGTACTCACCACCAAATGGTGAAGCGGAATGGATAAAACCATCTCGCACCTGATTTGATTCAAGAAACAAGAATTGATCCAGGTGCCATGTAGTTGAGATACTATGTAGGCCTTGTGAACATAGGCTGAAAGAAAGATGTTACATAACCAGGAATTTTGGAATTCACTTCAACAACACCAAAGATAATCAAAGTATACAGAAACAATAACTGAATACCCGACTTTCTTTACCTCTTGGCATAGAGGCCTAAAGGAAAAGAGGAAACCTTATGCAGAAGCCGTACTGGTAAAAGAACCCATGAGGAGAATCATATGAGCATTGAGATTCTAAAAAGAACCACCAACAAAATTTCACATTTTCCTGAAAACAAAAACAAGACATAACTTAGTATTTCATCAAAATCATAGTAAATGGATATACATTATCATAGATATGGACTCAGTGTTAACGAAAACTCTAAACATTATCAAGCAGATGTATCACACACAAAAAAAGTAAACCCCAATAACAAAGAAAGGATATGAATCATCTTCATCATCCTGCTCACACTCCTCATCATCTTCATAACACGATGCTTCTGTCACCAGAAGCAGAGAACTCTACTTCCTCGTCGTCATAGTCAAATTCAAGATTCAGAGGGCAACACTCATTTTTGTTTAGCTTGCCTACATAAACTGGTGCAGATATAGGCACCAACCATCAAATACGAGAAAACATAATGCTAAATGAGAAATCGAGTAAAAGGTTGAAACCTTGTTTGCCTTTCTTATTTCAGGTTTTGGTTCCAAGTAGTCTTATCCCAAAGGTGAGCTCCTTTGCTGCGCATTCTCTCTCATTCTCTCTCACTGCTCCTCCTCCTGCCTCAGAACACATCAACCATAAGACAAAGAATCATTACACATATAAAAATCGTAACACAAAGACTGTAACAATAGAAACTAGCTACTATAACAAGACTATAACACAGAGACAAGATAAATAAGATAGTCAAGACTAGGGACAAGATAAGTCAGATACAACAGAAACCAAACAGTGAAGACAGAGACAAGATTAAACAGATACAAAGAACCATTACACATAGAACCGGATAAATCAGATACAAGATAAGTGAGGTAGTCAAGACCATAAGAAAGATAACTTTACTGAGAACATAAACAGAGATAAACGATTGTGTGTATCAGAAACAGAGACTCAAGACAGGAAAAAGTTGCAAAATAGTCATAATCGAGACTCTTGATACAGAAACAGAAATGAATAGTCAACCAAAATCAAAACCTATTGATACAGAAACAGAAACAAATACTCAATCAAAATCAAAGCCCTAAGAACAAAACACCCAAATCAAACTGAATTAAGATCTTAATAAGAGACAATTGATACAGAAACAAATAATCAACCAAAATCAAACCCTAGACCCAGAAACATATAGTAAAGACAGATCGAAACCTAAACCTAAAAAAACAAATTGAAACCTTAAGAATGAACTAAGAAGAGATTTAACTTCTGGTGGTGGTGGTGAATGTCGCAAGAACAAACCCCCGTCACTCATATATCTTTATCGCTGTCGTCCTCTTCATTTGTCTTCTCCGTATATGCTACTGAGGAAGAGAAGACTCTGTCAAAACGCCATCAGATGTAAAACAGAGAAAGAGGGAGAGATAGATATAGAGATAAGAGAGTGAGATAGAGAGAGAGAGAGAGGATATGACCTGATGGTGGAGAGTCGTCGGTCTTCTTCCTCGATCCAACCCACGTGAGCTTGGATCCATTCACAACTTCTGGTCATCCTCCCTCTTGTCAATCTCGTTCTGTGGCTGAGGAGAAGAAGAGAAAGATATAGTCTTAAATGAGATAGGGTTTCGGTTTCCAGAGAGAGTGATACTCCTCTTTTTTTTTAAATTCCCGATAGAACACTAATTTTTTTTAAAGTTAAGTATAGAAAGTGTTATAATTTCGAGGGGAAAAATTTAAGCATTTGGCTTGTCTATTTTTCGTGTAAGTATTGGCGGAATTAGTTCCCGCCTCACTAATTTTTCAAAATAACACTAATAAACTGCTATTAATATAAATTGAAAAAATAATTTGATCTTCCATAGCAATCATGAAAACAATGCTATCATAATATGCTATTAATACCCCTTTTTCTTGTAGTGTTATACTCTTGAAGACAAATAAACTATTTGTAAGTCTTTACTACATGAGCCACCTAATATTTGTTGATTAGATTACTGTCACTACTTGAAAATAGAACTATATTATATTTATTGACATTAACATGAGAGTTTCTTAGTAACACTTCAAGTGCACACGCCTCTCAACGGTGGGGCAAGTTAGCTCGCAATCTTCACCGTGTAAAGTAGTACATACAACGCCAATCAGAGACATCCCTTCTAAGTGCATGTTGTGGATTGGAAGATCTGCAATGTTACTAGCTAGATGCGTACTCCACTGAGGTGGCATCATGACATGTGTCACTTTGTTAGACTCGACTCCTACCATAAAACCCACTACATGGGAGGATCTTTCATCTACGGCGTAAAGAAACTTCCTAAGCATATCGTAGAGAACAACGACTCCTTTGAAATCATTATATACACCATTAGTAAACTGTGATTCCCAGTCCTTTATAGTGAACTGATGATCCTGTATGCTCATTGGTTGTAATGGTGCAACATGTACTTTCTGTGACTCAGAAAGGTAGAACTTGGATTTGCAAGTGTGGAATCCAACTACCCTGTCTTGACTTTCAAATACTTTAGCTGTCAAAGTAAGTTGCACGCTGTAGCTCTTCTGATCACTATTTGCCACTAAATGAAATCTGCCTGAGATTTCTTGACCATCCATTACGGGAATAGCCTGAGGAAGAACACAGCGAATCCGATAACATTGTGTTGTAGGCGCAACAGGAGAGGTTGTGATCCATTTTTGGGACTTGCTCCCATCAAAGAGAACTTTATATGTTCTTGTTTTAATCAAAACTAAGATGACCTGACATAACTCCAAAGGTGAAAATTGACTGAAATACTATATGATATACGTATTTTGTAAAAAAGATGAAAATTAAGTTTCTTAATTACATATTCCACTGAGGATCTAGTTTAGTTACTTTCAGTAAAATGACTTTTAATCACAAGTAATTACAAGCATGGATATATTTTGTGGGTTTGTCGAATTTAATAAAGTTTCTTATGCTTAAGAAACTAAATCTTGATATAGTTGTATCCACTAAACTATGGCAGTTCAATCCGCATTTCCTGAGGGCCATCTTTGTTTTTTTGCAAATATTGTTCAAACTGATTTTAAATCTAGAAGTGGTTCTATACTTCTATTATAGTTTATCTAACTCGAGTAATATCAGATTTTCGGACTAAGGGTCCTAGAAAATACGACATTTTTCCTAGAAAGCATCACTTTAAAAAAGAAAAAAAATTTCGGGTTCGAGTTATACAAATTAAGCTTCTCTACCTTAGCTTATTAATTTTTGGACTGACCATCAGAAGAAATAGCACTAGTGACTTCCATAAAACCATGCAAGAAAAGGAAAAACAAAACATGGTGGACCGCAATTATACGGAATAAGATTAGAGAAAATAGAAGAAAATGCATTTGATTGATTAAGGCTTAAGAGAGTGTCATACTAATGAATGAGTAGTCCTAATGAATTGCAGCCAGAGAAGCTGTCTCACTAAAATACATTTGAAACTTTGAATACATGCAACGCACCCATTACCCATATAGTCCCATACTAATAATACTACCAAATTAAAATAAATATCTAACTTCATAGAGACGATTATAATATATAGTCGCAATAATTCACATCTTGCTGTACTTTTTAACTTTGAAGTTTTAAACCAGTTAAGTTGGTCTCGACGTAAAAAACAAAACAAGTCTTTCATCGAAGACATTCCAAACAAAACTACATTTCTGTCTTCTCTTTTCACTGTCCTTTCTTTTTCTGAAAAATAAAATAAAATGTCAATATGGCAAAAGCAATTCAGTATATGGACCGTTGAAAAATATATGTTGTTTAGCTACAGTTCTCACTTGTATTTACTTGCATCCTCAGTATGAACATTCACACCAAATCTTAACTTGATAGTTTTATTTGGCTTTCAGCTTTGTGTTCTTACATATACGTATGATTGATGGTTTATTCATTAGGTTACTGGTAAATGTATATTTACAATACAATACAAAACACACGAAAACCCTAGTCTAATTACATTGCATGTACTGTTGTCAAAAAAAAAAAATTACATTGCATGTACTTTTATTACCTCTTGTTCATGATTCAGGTTTTCCTCTTGTTCCAAATCATATATATCTGCTTTCGCCACTAATGATTTGGGATCTGAAGTTGGAACAAAATAATCTATAAGAGAGCACACTTCCTCATCTCTAAAACAAAATTTCATATCAGTTTCTTGGAAGTTGGAATCCATTTGTTTAAGCTCTGTTTCAGTGGTGTTATGGTAACACAAAAAGGTATTTACGTTAACCAAACCACGCCAAGAATCACTTTTCTTTAAACCGGTTAAATCTTTGTATACAATGGAGACATCATCTCGAACAGCATCACGTCCTCCTCTTAAAACTACATGGTAACCAAATCTACGGAATATGTTTTTGACTTTTTGAGTCTTGAACTTGTCTCTATCAATGGAACCAAAAAGAGTTCAGATTTTGTATGTTACTGAACCAGCGATGCTGACTTGACTACAAAGCAAGCAACAGTTTTCTATGATCACATTGTGACCTATCTGCAAAAGAACAAGAAAGTAAATAATAGATCATCTTGTGACCTATCTCAATCAACGGTTTCTAAGATAGAGAAACGGTGGATGGACTTAACTTCCAATACCACCAACGGTCTCTAGCCCTTGATAAAAATCTATCTATACAATCAACACCTAAGTGTAAACAATTTTGTAAGATTTTAGCATGTTAAAAGTTAGGTGCAGTAAAGCACAAGTTATTACACATTCATTGAATCAATTCTGTATACATTGTCATTGCAATTCTTACAATCTATTTCTACAATCTACACTTAACGTGCAGACAAGTCTGTGAGAGAAACATCATTAACAGAAACCGAAAACGAGGTTGATCTTCTGAAGAAACCAGGCTGTGATGGATTTGGAAGTTGGAGAGACTCAGAATCAGAGCTAAGCATGGAAACAACTGCATCCATTGTTGGTCTTTTTGTAGGATTCTCTTGAACACAAGACAATGCAATTTCTAAGCATTGCATTGATTGTTCTTTAGAGCAAGATTTCAACAGAACATCATCTATTAGATCCATTGGTGTTCCTTCAACCCAATTTTTCCATGCCTGCAGAAAATAAAGACAGAAAACATTACTGAACTAATCCCTTTTTAGATTTTGTTGAACCTTATTTATGTGTTTCTTGTCACTTACGAAAGTTGGGAGATCTGTGTCTTCACTAAACCCTAATCCACTGTTTCTTTTACCTGTGATGATCTCAAGAACAAGAACTCCAAAGCTGTAAACATCAGTTTTCACAGAGAATCTACCATGCATTGCATACTCTGGAGCCATATATCCACTACAGAAACAAGAACACATGAGAGATTGATATTTTTTTTGTCTCCTTTACGTGAATTAGGGTTTTGAGTAGCTAGACTTACTAAGTTCCAACAACTCTTCTTGTGACTGCTTGAGTCTTATCAAAATCAAACTGTCTAGCCATTCCAAAATCTGATATTTTTGGATGCATTTGTTCATCTAGAAGCACATTAGAGGACTTGAGATCACGGTGTATTATCGAAAACTTGGTGCCTTCATGAAGGTAAAGCAATCCCCTGGAAACTCCTATGATGATATTGTACCTTGTTTCCCAATCCAACTGCTTCCCCTTAATAGGATCTACATTCATCAGTAGAGTTAAGAAACTGAAACAGAGAGTGTATAGGACTAATGCAAAAGCATAGAAAGAAGAGAGAGTATATAAATACCGAACAAGAACCGATCAAGACTTGCATTAGAGATAAACTCATAGACAAGAAGTCTTTCAGAATCTTTGATGGAGAAACCAAAGAGTTTAACAAGATTCTTGTGTTGCAGCTTAGTCATTAAGAGCACTTCTGTCTTAAACTCAGCATTTCCTTGTCCTGAATGTATCGATAATCTTTTCACCGCTATCTCTTTCCCATCTTGAAGACGACCCTGATAGATTTTTAGTTCCATAATAAGTGGTATTGTTAATATGGAGATTAGAACAGAGCAATGAAGATTACAGTAAAGATAAATCAACCTTGTAGACAGCCCCAAAACCACCTTCACCGATCTTATTCGTTAAAGAGAACTCATCTGTTGCAACTCTTATGGTTTCGAAATCAAAATGCAATGAGTGTGTACCCTCAACTTCATCTGCAGATCAAAATTCACTACTCAAGAATAGGGTTTTAGCATCATTAGTTTATCATTAAATAGCTTTACAAACTTACTTTCAGCTTCTTCCTTTAGATCTTTCTTCTTCTTCCTACTCCTCCTCATTAAGTAGATAAAGAGAGAGATAAGAACTATGATAACTATCACAATAGGAATCACCGCAAATACCAGAGTTTTAGAACCTTTTCCTGCAAGTAACAACATATAATCAAAACGTAAAACCCTAAAACATCTAATCCTTTTTTAAAATCAGCTTAACTTGTGTTACCTTGATCACTTCTTTTGGTGTCGTTGTTAGAAGGAGCAATAGGTTGTTCCTCTTCTGAAACAGCAGAGAGATCGAAAAACGGATAATCTTCGAACCTAAAATAGCAACTTGGATTCATCCACCATCCACCAGATTTGCCATCACAACAAGTAGGAACCCCAGCAAAGATCTGAGAAAGACAGATCCTACAATCTGATTTAGACAAATCTGGTGTACACTGAGCCAAGGCATAAACTGTCCCTTTCACTCCTGCTGCAAACTTAACCTCTTTGGTCTCATACGCATCCACTATTTTTAACCCTAAAGAATCCAATAGTTCACCTAAACCCTTGCTGAAACCTTCCTTGTCCGCCACGCTAACGTTGCTTGATGTGTGATAAAAAGGAACTGGCTCCATTTGACCTAATATAAATCGACTTGTGTAACGAAACATGCATTTCTCGAGCCATATCGCAGCTTCCACGGTGTTCGGACAACTTTCTAAGAGCTGTTTAGCTGCGTTTGTTATGCAACTGATGCAATCTTGATTTGGTTTGAGATCTCCTCTGCATAAAGCTATAGCGTTGACTTCTTCATTGATGGAGATGTTGTAGAAGCCGTTGATGGTTGGAGTTAGAACGGGTAGGGAGGAGATCAAACGGTTGAGATTGAAGGAATATGAAGAGTTGGATGTGAAGTTGAGTCCTTCGTAGAAGCAAAAGGTATGAACGGTGACGTTTTGTTGAGCGTTAGTCGTCGATAGAAAAGTCAAGATAAAGAAGATGAAGAACACATAGTAAAGCATTATTGAAGCATAGGCCTTGGAATCATTGAATGAAAGACGATGAAAAGAACAAAATAAGAAACAGAGTACGTATAAAAAAATATGACAGTGACAGACTTCTTATTACATAATTAATTCTCGAAACGTTTGACCAAATTGTATTTTTTTTAAGTTTAAAATGAGATATCAGCTTAATCACATGCGTGTTTACGCGCTAATGATGCGCGTCGGAAATTTTTGTGGAGAGTATTATTGTATAAAAAGGCTAAGTTATTTTAAGGCCCTTAACAGGCTTAATTCTTAAGTTATTCTTAGGTCCATAAAAGGTTTACGTTTTTTTTTCTTGACATTTAACCCATAACAGGCTTAATTCACCGTTTAATTAAGGTTCTATGTAGTAAGAGCCCATTAGTAGATTCACTTAAATAATTTCTTTTGTTTTTTTTTAAAGAGTAATTTCTTTTGTTTAATTTATTTATAGTCTCTGCTGAAAAATATTATTATTACATAGTCTCTTACACTAATTTATTACTCTATTAAAAATTATAGAAATATTGCATAAATATTCTATGATCATAAATATATTCTTATCAACAATTTATTATTCTATATAGTTGTTAATAAATCGTCTTCTCCTAACTCAAAATTCAAAATTCTGATAAAAAAGCATTAATGAACAAAATTACTGATATAGAAACATTAATAAACTTCAGTCATACTATGGACTAGAGGATTTCCACATTCAAAATTCTGATAAAAAAGCATTAATGAACAAAATTACTGATATAGAAACATTAATAAACTTCAGTCATACTATGGACTAGAGGATTTCCACATTTATTTAAAGATAGATACAAAATAAACTATTATTTGACTTATGTTTATAATTTGACTTACTCCTCCTTGTTCCATGAGGTTCACAGGGGACGCTTTCTTTCTTGTCCCCTTCTTAAAAAAAACTATTTGATAGCGAAAACATATAACCTTAGACACAATATAAAATGCAAAGAGATCTGTCGGAATGATCAAACGCATTACACAATTACTCACCATGTCAAATCTCAAACCATTAAACTAAAATTAAAACATTCCTTAATTATCTGAGATGACATATTCTACAGTTTCAGACGACAACGGTTTCTACTTCTTGTACTACTTTAGAACTGTTCTACATCTGAATATTGCCACAGATCACAGGTAGATGAATGAATATACTCTTAAACAACATTGTTTAGTGCTTAAGTCAATGAGATTACTTGCAGCCGACTCATCCGAAAGCAACTTGCTAATATAATGAAATGTGCTTACCACTCTTTTTTGAAACCTTCAATATAAATAACAACAATGCTTTCATTAGATCACAAGCAAAACAAGAGTTTTAAGCTTTAAGACAAAGTCACAAAGAGAATGAAGACCTTTTTCGTTTTCCTTCTTCTTCTTCTCTGTGCTTTTTCCATCAACGCGAATCAACAAGAAGAGAACCAACCAATATCACATAAACTTCTCCACAAAGTCCAACAATGGAGAACTTCTTTAAAAGAATCAAGCGCTCAAGAACTCAAGCTATCTTCAGCAATCATTGTAGCTGGAGTCTTATGCTTCATGGCTGCCTTAATCTCAAGCGCAGGTGGGATCGGAGGTGGAGGTTTATTCATTCCAATCATGACTATAGTTGCAGGGCTTGACTTGAAAACAGCTTCAAGCTTCTCTGCTTTTATGGTCACTGGTGGTTCCATCGCTAATGTGATCAGCAATCTCTTTGGTGGTAAAGCATTGCTTGACTACGATTTAGCCTTGCTTCTTGAGCCTTGCATGCTTCTTGGAGTGAGCATTGGTGTCATCTGCAACAGAGTTTTGCCTGAGTGGCTCATCACTGTTCTTTTCGCCGTGTTCTTGGCTTGGTCTAGCTTGAAGACTTGTAGAAACGGAGTCAAGTATTGGAAAATTGAGTCTGATGCTGCGAGAGGGAAAGGACATGAGAGGCCAGAGAAAGTACAAGGAGAAACAGAGGAGGAGGATACCAAAAGCCTTAAAGAACCTCTACTTGAAGCTAAAGAGAAGAGAAACAAGACTCCATGGACGAAACTTGGTGTCTTGATCGTTGTTTGGGCGTCTTTCTTTGTTATTTATCTTCTTCGTGGTAACAAAGATGGAAAGGTAAATGATATATAACTCTATAGATTGATAGATACTTTGCTATAGAAGAAGTGACAGATTCTGTATGTGTTATGCGCAGGGAATCATAACGATAAAGCCTTGTGGTGTTGAGTATTGGGTTCTTCTTTCACTTCAAATACCTCTAGCTTTAATTTTCACAAAGCTTGCTATTTCGAGAACCGAAAGTCTCCAAGAAAAATCCTCAAACAATCAGGTAAGCGCAATAACAAGCTACAAATGAGATGAATAATTGAGACAAATACTAAACATTATTATCTTATATATGAGCAGAAAGATCAAGAAGTAACAAAACTAGACCAGTCCACACAGTTTATGTTCCCGGTAATGTCATTTTTAGCCGGTTTGTTGGGTGGTATATTCGGTATTGGTGGTGGAATGCTTATAAGCCCTCTTCTTCTTCAAGCTGGGATACCACCACAGGTAAGTGTCATTAACTTTTCTGTTTCTCTGTAAGTGTTTTGATCTTGCATATGAAAATGAAATGGTGCAGATAACAGCAGCAACAACATCATTCATGGTGTTCTTCTCAGCAACAATGTCAGCAGTTCAATACCTGCTACTAGGAATGCAAAACACAGAAGCAGCTTACTTGTTCTCCTTGATTTGCTTCTTTGCTTCCCTTCTCGGTCTTGTTTTGGTTCAGAAGGCAGTAGCTCAGTTTGGAAGAGCTTCCATCATTGTGTTCTCTGTAGGGACAGTGATGTCTCTGAGCACAGTCCTTATGACTAGCTTTGGTGCGCTTGATGTATGGACTGATTATGTGGCAGGCAAGGACATGGGGTTCAAGCTGCCATGTTAAGACATATTGTTTCTGATCTTAAATCACAAAACAATATCATCGGTTTCTTTTTTTATTTTTTTTCTTTTTCTTGTTTTTATACATCACTAAGAGGCTGAAAATTGAACTCTATGTAAGAGGGAGATTTGGAGCAATATGGTACTGTAATGTTTATATGTTTTTGTAAAATTTAATAATTTGTGAATGTACTTATAGTCAAGACCTTGACTGTAAACAACAGTTTATGTGTCGCAGTTAAGTAGCTGCTGATGTTTTGAAGTATTGTGTTAAGTGTAACTAGATCATAACCCGCCCGACTGGACGGGTCTTTGTTTTTATAGTATCTATAACATTTCAAAATTACAATTTAATGGTTCCAATTTTACTAAGTAATAGTATACTGTCTAAACATTGTATTTTATCACTGTATTGTGTAACAGAGGCGTCGTAAAATGTTGTGATCCGTAAATATTTTAATAATAGTTTATAAATTTTTTTTTGGCTAAATTGGTACAAAGTTATATACATTAAATAATTTAGTCAAATTTTTAAATTAATTTTTTAAAGAAGAATTGGAAGGCTAGTATATCACTGTTAAAAACTTATAACAATAGTCAATATAAATTATATAAATAAAATATATAGTATTTTTGATTTATTCCAGGTATATTTAAAACATGAATACATATATGTATAAATAATTTTCAGAAGTAAAGTAATATAAATGATAGAAAACACAAAAACAATAATAATAGTATATTGGGCCGCAATAATCTTTATTTTAATAAATAAGCCCATTAGATTTGTAAGCTATCCTATCCTTGTTTCCAATCATCATAATTTTAAATATTTCCTATTCATGTTTCCAAACACTTAACTTTTTGTACTTCAACTTTAATAGTATAGATGTTATTTAATTAAATGAACAAGAATGATAAATACATTTAACATTCAATAAAAGAAGGCTAAAACTGTCGGCCCATATGTATAGTAAGCCCTGTTTTAAGCCCAATCCAAACTTTGACAAGACACAAGGAAACAATGCATGACACGTGGCAATAAACTAGTGGTTAAAACCATATCCGAATAATCGAAAGTGCAGATAAGGTGTTCTTTGGTCCGAAAACGAAACCAACCAACCATATATTCACAACCAATAATCATCACATCAACTTTCGTCTCTCTAAGAAACAAAAGTACAAAAAAATGGCTTCGATGGGTGTTGGCTTACGTGTCACATCTCCCGCCGCTCTTGAAGGCAGCGTGAAGATCAACGGCTCTATCCCCCGTCTGAACGTAACCGGAAGAGTCACAGTGCCTCAAAGGTCTGGACTTATCGTCAGAGCTCAACAAAGCGAGACCGCGCCAGAGACTACTCGAAGATCCATGATTGGTCTCGTGGCTGCTGGTTTAGCCGGTGGCTCGTTTGTCCAAGCCGTCCTCGCCGATGCTAATCCGATCAAAATTGGCCCTCCTCCTCCTCCCTCCGGTGGTCTTCGTAAGTTTAAACTAAACTGATTATTCATCGACTTATTAGGACATAGACAGTAGATGACAATGTGTGTTTTTGTTTGGTGAGCAGCTGGGACAGATAACTCAGACCAAGCAAGAGATCTAAGACTGAAGTTAAAGGACAGATTTTATTTACAGCCGTTGCCACCAACGGAAGCTGTAGCTAGAGCCAAAGAATCTGCGAAAGAGATTGTGAATGTGAAGTCATTGATCGACAAGAAAGCTTGGCCATATGTTCAGAACGATCTCCGTTCTAGGGCTGCTTACCTTCGTTACGACCTTAACACAATCATCTCCGCCAAATCCAAGGATGAGAAGAAGTCTCTCAAGGAGCTCACTGGAAAGCTCTTTGATACCATCAACAATGTAAGTGTTTCTAACCTAACCTCTTATATGAGTTTTAAAGCTTACTTGGAAGGCAAGTTTGTTAATGATTTGATTTTCTTGTAGTTGGATTATGCGGCGAAGAAGAAGAGTACTGCGGATGCTGAGAAGTACTATTCAGAGACTGTCGCTACTTTGAACGATGTTCTTGCCAAGCTTGGTTAACCATTTCGTTTTCTCTATTTTTCTTTGTAAATTTATTATTCTCTCTTGATTTTTGTTTCCTGAGTATTAAAACTCAAAATCCCTGAATCCGAATTTGTGTTTCAAGTTTTTACCCCCAAAACAATGGTAATTTCTTGTCTATGCATCTCTATAGCTTTGCCTCCACCAAAGAAATATTAAATTTAAATTCAAAATTTCACTTCATCAAGTTCAGTTTACAAGATGTGTTTCATTATGCACAATTGACCATTTTTTATTTGGAACATGGTTTTCTAATACTGGATTTGTCTAAATGATTCCAACGCTTTAGTCCACTAATCAAACAATGAAGTTTATTTATAGTGTTAATTTAAAACACACATGATAGTTATGTACTTCTAGAATTTGTCTACTTCTAGCTTTAATCCTCTGTGATTGGAGCAGATTATATGTAGTCAGGCCCTGTTCGTTTAGGTGTCGCGCGACCTGCGATTTGCAACTAAGATCATGTTCATTTACGTGTCGTGATTTGCTACATGCGATTAAACCTGCGACCTACGACTAAAATCATGTTCGTTTACGTGACTTACGGCTGCAATCTGTGACTAGTCACGCGACCAAAATTTTCTTAATATTTGATTGCTATTTTTTCAAACGATATAAAATTAGATCATGCGATTAGTCGCACGGCATCCAAACAAACGACAACCTGCAACTTCCGACATGCGATTGGTCGCAGGTCGCAGATTACACGACAGTAAAACGAACAACAACATGCGACTTGCGAAACAACAACCTGCGATCTGCGACTGATCGCAGGTCGCATGTCGCAGATCGCTCGACACCTAAACGAACAGGGCCTCAATGTCTGTCAGTGATACAACTTCCATTGGGCCTGATTAGTGCAGGCCCATGAGGCCCATATCTCATTTCTGTTTTCATATTACTTCTTCGTCTACCCTAATTCACCGCGCGCCATTTCTCCGGCCACTTCTCCGTCGTCGTCGGCCGTCACTACCTAAACCCCAGTGACTTTCCCGACGACGATTTTAATTATTCCTTAAATTCTCCTCTTCCTGTCTCTGCTGATCGGAAGCAGACAGTGATTGAGCTTTCTCCGGCTATGAGTATCTCCTCCGTCGCTAAACGATTCTCGCCGCCAATCATATCTCTCCCTCGACGCCTCACATTACTCCTACAATCCTGCTCAAACCCAACCCTTCTCCGTCAAGGCAAGCAAGTCCACGCCTTTCTAATCCTAAACAGAATCTCCGTCGATAACGAGAGGATCTTGGCGATGTACGCAATGTGCGGTAGCTTTCAAGATTGCGGTAAAATGTTTCACAGACTTGATCTGCCACGTGGCAGCATCAGGCCATGGAACTCGATCATCACCAGTTTCGTTAGATTCGGTTTAATGAATCAAGCTTTGTCCTTTTACTTCAAGATGTTGATGTTTGGAGTTAGTCCTGACGAATCCACTTTCCCTTGTTTGGTCAAAGCTTGTGTTGCGTTGAAGAGTCTCAGAGGAGTTGAGTTTTTTAAAGACACGGTTACTTGTCTTGGGATGGATTGTAATGAGTTTGTAGCGAGTTCTTTGATTAAAGCGTGTATTGAGTATGGGAAGATTGGTGCTGCGAGGGAGTTGTTTGGTAAAGTTGGGAAGAGAGATTGTGTTATATGGAATGTGATGCTTAATGGGTATGCGAAATGTGGGGATTTGGATAGTGTTGTGAAAGGGTTTAGTGGTATGAGGATGGATGGGGTTAGTCCTAATGTTGTCACTTTTGATTGTGTTTTATCTGTTTGTGCGTCTAAGTCGTTGATTGATTTTGGAGTTCAGGTTCATTCTCTAGCGGTTGTTTCTGGTTTGGAGTTTGAAGGCTCTATTAAAAACTCGCTTTTATCTATGTATTCAAAATGTGGGAGTTTTGATGATGCGTGTAAGTTGTTTAGGATCATGTCTCGTGGTGATAGGGTGACGTGGAATTGCATGATATCTGGTTATGTTCAGAGTGGGTTGATGGAAGAAAGTTTAGTTTGTTTTTGTGAGATGATCTCTTTAGGTGTCTTACCTGATGCCATCACGTTTTCTAGTTTGCTTCCATCGGTCTCTAGGTTTGAAAACCTGGGGGTTTGTAGGCAAATTCATTGTTATATCATGAGGCATAGCATACCGTTGGATATCTTCTTGACGAGTGCTCTCATTGATGCATATTTCAAGTGTAGAGGTGTTTCAACGGCGGAAAAGATTTTCAGACAGTGTAAGTCAGTCGATGTTGTTGTGTTCACGGCAATGATCTCTGGATATTTGCATAACGGATTGATTACCGATGCGTTAGAGATGTTTAGGCGGCTGGTTGATGTAGAGATATGTCCGAATGAGATAACTCTGGTGTCTATTTTACCGGTTATTGGCGGTTTGTTGGCACTGAAACTCGGTAGGGAGCTCCATGGTTTCATCATCAAGAACGGTTTCGATAAGAGCTGCAATATAGGTTCAGCTGTTATCGACATGTATGCTAAATGTGGAAGAATGGATCTTGCTCATGAAATCTTTAGGAGACTCTCTAAGAAGGATATTGTTTCGTGGAACTCAATGATCACACGTTGTGCTCAGAGCGATGATCCTAGTGCGGCTATTGATGTTTTTCGTCAGATGGGAGTTTCAGGAATCGGTTTTGATTGTGTTAGTATCTCAAGTGTTCTCTCTGCTTGTGCCAGCGTAGCTTCAGAAAGTTTTGGGAAAGCTATTCATTGTTTCATGATAAGGCGTTCTTCACTTGCTTCTGATGTATATAGCGAGAGTACATTGATAGGTATGTATGCTAAATGCGGAAACCTTAAATCTGCCATGAATGTTTTTGAGAGGATGGAAGAGAAGAACATCGTTTCGTGGAACACCATCATCGCTGCGTATGGAAACCACGGTAGGCTAAAAGATTCTCTCCGTCTGTTTCGTGAGATGGTTGAAAACAACGGAGTTCTTCCTGATCAAATCACATTTCTTGAGATAATATCTTCATGTTGTCACGCTGGAGATGTCGACACAGGAGTTCGTTTCTTTAGATCCATGACTGAAGATTACGGAATCCAACCGCAGCAGGAGCATTACGCTTGCCTCGTTGATCTGTTTGGACGAGCTGGTCGGTTAAATGAAGCGTACGAAACCGTTAAGAGCATGCCGTTTGCTCCAGATGCAGGAGTTTGGGGAACGTTACTTGGAGCCTGTAGGCTTCACAAGAATGTCGAACTTGCTAAAGTTGCTTCGAGCAGGTTAATGGAATTGGATCCGCAGAACTCTGGTTATTATGTTTTGATTTCGAATGCACATGCTGATGCTGGTGAATGGGGAGGTGTGACTAAAGCAAGAAGTATAATGAAAGAGAGAGGAGTTGAGAAAGTCCCCGGTACTAGTTGGCTTGAAGTCAACAACATAAAACATTCGTTTGTTTCCAGCGATGAAAATCATCCTGAGTATACAGTTATGCATTCTTTACTAAATTTACTTCTCGAAGAGCTGAAGCTACAAGGCTATGTTCCACAACCTTACCTTCCAATGCATCCACATTCATCGAGAAAACTAAATCCCACAGTGAAAGGAATGGTAGATGCAAACAACGTTTAGGTATATATATCTTTTAGTCAGATTTAGACATTGGGTTAAGTTTATAAGAAAAACATGGTCTACAAATTTTTATTCAAGCATGGCCTGTCTGTGTCTGTTCTCGTGTTGAAGCAGTTGCAGAGGTGTAGTAAGCAACAGCGAAAAGGCCGTGAATGAAACAGAGGATTCCTCCTATGGACAGAACCCGATGATGTGAAATCCCACAGCCTCTCCTCGATCTTGAGTTTGCCATCGTCCCTACGATCAACATGGAGAACGCAATTGCCAATATGATCCTGCGAGAACACACAGAAAAAGGATCTTGCATTGTTCTGTTTGGACTTGCAGATTGATCTGTTTATGTAGTGTTTGGACTTACCAGGAGAATATCAGAGAAGCCACGGCAAGCTGTTTGTTAGCAGAGGATTTTTCAAGGTCTTGTCTTGAGACAACACAGAGACATCCACCAAGAAAGTTAGCCGTTACATGGGCTAACACCAAAAGGATACATGCAGCTAAGCCGTACTTGAAGGCTGTGTGACTTGGGTCTCTACACTCGAATATCCACACCTTCAAATGCTTCACCTGCACTCCCAAACAAACGAAATTAGCGAAATCTGCAACTATTATGGAGTTTTGTGTATGTGCATGTGTACCTTATTCTGAGCTACTTCGGCTTCAATGCCAAGAATGCCAGCTGAAACATCCATGGCTAGGATCAAGATGCAGATGAAGAACCCTACATTCCTTGACATTTTTTCCTTCTTACTGCTTTGATCTGCAATGAAACAAGTTCTTACCAGCAAACAAATAAGCAGGAAGTGGTTGTTGTTGAAGTAATAACTTGTCCTTGTATTTATGGGCAAATAGTGTTTTAAGCTTTACAGTTTACACTCTGTAGGTTGGATGGAATAAGAATAAAGTAGAACATAAGTTTCCTTTTATTGCAGTTTTACTAAAGATCATGTTATCGAATAAATGTTTAGCTGTGATCCTTTATGTAAAAACTTCTTTTCTCTTTGATATTTTAAGTTTCTAAGTATTTTAAATTTGACAAAAAAAATAAGTATTTTAAAGGACAAAAAATCTAAATATTTTAGAGGCACTAATGATATTTATTAATGGCCATGTCCTCAAAATTCAAAAAGATATCTTTTGGCCAATTGCTTAATTGTATGTTTTCTTTTGGCTAGTTTCTTAATTGTTTTGTGTTCTTTATTCCTCCCTTCCATGTTAATGAGAAAAACTTTTTAATATTCGGATTCTTGACAGAGCAGCCAAGCAAGGAAGAAGAAACTTTTGCGGTTCGAAACGCTTAGCTCTCCCCAAATCTGCCTCTTCCAGTCGCTTTGACCCAATACATTAAGATGGGCTCTATAGGCCAAATAAAGGGCTGATTAACGTCTCGTTGTCCATGTCGTGGCTAACGTCAAAAAGAGTAACTGCAAAGCACGAGAAGGGGTTGATGATGACATGTCTTCTGTTATGCGTTTCTTTGATGCTGTAAGATAGAAAACATTTATGAGACTAATGTGATAATGGGATCTTTCTGTGGTCTCTGTCTCGTAGATCTCTTAGAATGTATACAACCTAGTAAAGTAATGCAGGTAAGGCTTGCTGTTCTTGGTATGACTAAGAGCTTCACTGACTTGAGACATTTGAGCAATAAAATAAGCTGTTGATTATCATTTAATCTATGAATACCGAACATCATTTCTCTAACCCCTTTACTACTTTGGTAGAAACTTCTCTGTAATATTTTTTGTTTAAAAAAATATAGAAGAGAAATAGGTCTCTACCTTGTAAATAAAAAAGATCTCTACCTACGTACCATCATCAACAACCTAATTTAATTAGATTCCGTTGTTAATATACATATAACTTGCATCTCAGGAAAGTGGAAAATTTTGTCTCTCTCTCGTCCACCGCAACACACACGTCATGATTATATACCATTTTTAATATGTAACTGTTGTAACCATAGTTGTCATAATTACACTCTAATTTTAGCTTGTGCATAACCATCAGAACAATGACACCCACCTTTGCGCTTCATTTATGTTTTCCTGTTAGAAGTTACAATGTTTATCAAGTAAGAATACAATCTATTGGTTATTCTGACAGCATTAGAACAAAATTTTGTTAATCAGTTCATCTTAAACACATTAGAGATCTGTCTATAAACCACATAAAAAGCTGGGAGAAGGTGATCAAAGCAGGGTTTCTCTCAATAACAAAGAAGAATGAATGGTTCTATTAGGTTGTGTTTTGTTGTTATAGCATTTGCAATTGTGTTAGTCATAAATGGAGAGCCTATCTTTGTTAGTCACGAGGCCTTCCCTCCACAGACACCAGTCGTGACTGACTCTCCTGCTATGCCTCCTTCTGACGATTATGCGATCGATGTAAGTAGTCTAATGGCTTTTGGATTGATGTAATTTTTTAAGCGATCATTAAATTGCTTACATGTGTTTGACACAGATGGGAGGCGATGTATCAGCTACTGATGAACCCCCCGCCCCACCACCACCTTTTGTCCCCGAGTTCCCGGTATGTATAACTCTACGTGTTTGAGATATGTGGAAGAATATATGAATAATTGATACATTTTCTTTATTTTTCTGATAAAAAAAAACAGGTTTATATATTTTACTTGGGGGAAAGGAAACAAGATGATCCTAAGTTGGTGACTCAGTCACATCTTGAAATCTTGAAATCGGTTCTTGGAAGGTAAATGAGTGGTTGCATTGAAGATTCTCGTGTATATAACTTTAGCTTACATTTTGGTTTGAATTTAATGTTACAGTGAAGAAGCAGCCAATAAGTCAATGGTTTACAGTTATCACCATGGATTCTCCGGTTTTGCAGCCAAACTCACACCAGCAGATGCAGAGAAATTGAAAAGTATTTCACTTATTTTCTCTCTTGTTAACAAATTTAAAACACCAAATGTGGTTTAGTTAAATTGTTTTTTTTTTCTGTCTACCAGATCATCCTGAAGTTATTATTCTTATCGAAAACCGAAAACTTGTGATGCAAACAACAAGAACATGGGATTACTTAGGTCTTTTCTCAACTCCAGCTTCATCTAAAGGTCTTCTTAATGAGACCAACATGGGAAGTGGTGCTATTATTGGCGTTATTGACTCCGGTATTATATTACTCCCTCCATTTAAAATTATATGATGTTTTAGAAAGTTTAAATTATTTCAAAATATATAATGTTTTGAAGTTTTAAGGTATCTTTTGAAGTTTTAAGGTTAATTTTAACTTTATTGGTAACTGTTCAACCAATAAAATTTTACAGTCTTTTTTTACAGTATACTATATCAATCTTTATGTCAGCTTGTTACATTCTCAGCTAACAATCTCGAGAAATTATGTGGGCAGGGATATGGTCAGAATCAGCCGTCTACAACGACGATGGATATGGACCGATACCAAAACAATGGAAAGGACAATGCGTGTCCGCAGACCAGTTCACTCCTGAAGATTGCAACAAAAAGCTTATTGGAGCTAAATACTACATGGATGGTCTTAACGCAGATCTCAAAACAAGTATCGACACTAGTGTAGAACATCTATCTCCGAGAGATCATAATGGTCACGGGACTCAAGTATCCTCAACGTTAGCCGGTTCTTTAGTTTCTAACGTGACATTTCCAGGCCTCCCATCTGGTTCAACCATGAGAGGTGGCGCTCCTAATGCGCATATAGCAATGTATAAAGCATGTTGGGATGTGGAAGGAGGCATGTGTTCTGTTGCTGATGTCTGGAAAGCCTTTGATGAAGCCATTCACGATGGTGTTGATGTTTTGTCGGTTTCTATAGGTGGTGCAGTAAATATCAAGTCCCTTGACGTTGAAATAGATATCGCGATTCCAGCGTTACATGCTGTGAATAGAGGCATTCCTGTTGTTTCTCCAGCTGGTAATGGAGGACCTCGTAGTTCATCGGTTATTAACGTTTCTCCATGGATTTTAACTGTGGCTGCAACCACCCTTGACCGCTCTTTCTCCACACTGCTCACACTCGAGAACAACAAAACGTTGCGGGTATAATATATACATTTTTAACTCTATAGAAACATTAGTCTTCACCCCTAATTTATATAAATATTAATCCTCAAATTTTTAAAAAGACTTTTTATTAAAAAAGTTAATAAACGTTTATCGTCTCCAAAATTTCAGAACCGGTCTTGATGTAACGGTGCAAAGCTAGTTATAACTTTCTTTTTGGTTGGTTTTTTTTTTTTAAGGGTGAGAGTATGTACACAGGACCTGAGATTGGATTCACTGAACTGATGTTTAGTAGCGATCATAATAACATTACTATAGCAAAGGGTAAAGTTGCTATGTACTTTGAATCAGACGGAGAGGTGCCTATGCCAGATATAGTTCAGCAAAATGGTGCCATTGGTGTAATTTATGTGAGACATATGACTGATCTTCTTGACTGTCCCATCAACTTTCCATGTATCTACATGGATTTCGACACTGCCTCCGAGATATTTTTCTACATGGAAACTACCACAAGGTAATCTTCAAAATAACATCAAAATAACATCTAATCTTTCTTACATATGAGTATATGAGTTGTGTCATTTGCTTGCAGCACACCCAAGATTAAGATAAGTCCATACAAGACGGTAATTGGTGAAACTGTAGCAAGTAAAGTGGGAGTATCATCAGCGAGAGGGCCTAGTTCCATTTCACCTGCCATTCTTAAGGTTTTTTCCTTCATCTTTTGTTCTGGATCACTCCAAATCCTAAATTTTTAATACTCTCTCCCTACTCAACAAAAGAGTTTTTTTTTTTTTTAATTTGTTCACACGTAGTAAAAAATACATTAAATTTTATCTGATTATTAATTTTTAATAAATTCAACTAATTTTTAAAATATTATGGTTTACTATTATTAAATAATATAAATTTTATTAAAAACATCTAAAACATTTCCTAAATATTTATCTTTGTAGAATGAAAGTAGTACTAAACTTTCTTTTTCCGTGTAATGCAGCCAGATATAGCAGCACCGGGTGTGTCCTTAGTAACACCAAGAATACCTACAGATGAAGACACAAGAGAGTTTGCTTACGCAGGAACATCAATGGCAACTCCTGTTATTGCTGGAATCGTAGCACTTCTCAAGATTAAGCATCCTACTTGGTCTCCTGCTGCAATCAAATCAGCTCTTGCCACAACAGGTTTATCTTAGTTTATATTTCTTTTTAATTAAACCTCTCTTCTCAATACAAACTCAGCAGTTAACCAAACTCTCCACGTGTCAGCCACAAGAATCGATCCACACGGGGAGCTTCTAGCCGCAGGTGGATCTACCCGAAAGCTAGCCACTCCATTCGATTACGGAGGAGGTCTTGTTAACATGGAGAAAGCCACAGCTCCTGGTCTTGTTTACGACATGGACATCAACGGTTACGTACATTACTTATGCTCCGAAGCTCTTTACACAGACAAGAGAGTTTCTGCTCTAACCGGAAACGTTATTACAAAGTGTCCGAGCTCAGGTTCATCGATTCTTGACCTCAACGTACCGTCTATTACCATCCCAAACCTCAAGGGGAACGTCACAGTTACACGTACCGTGACCAACGTAGGCAACGTTGACTCGGTTTACAAGGCTGTGATCGAGGCTCCGCTTGGATTCAACGTCAAGGTTTCACCGGAGACTCTAGTGTTTAACAAGGGAACCAACAAGGCTACGTTTACAGTGAGTGTGTGTTCGGGTACACATAGGGTGAACACTGACTTTTTCTTTGGGAGTTTGACTTGGAGTGATGGACTTCACTATGTGACAATCCCAGTTGCTGCCAGGACACGTTTCATCGATAATTTTTTCTTGTAAATTGTTATTATAACCCAGTTATTAATAAGAAATTGTTGTCACGGAATCCATTTGTGTGTGAGTGAAAACAATGCATTGAGAATAGAAGATGTTTGGTTTCTATAATAAGATTCTACATTCAATCAAATAGTTTCAAGCTTTAGTTCACTGTATTGTTTGATTTTAATTAGTGATGTTTAAAATTAGTACGTACGAAGCTGTATATTTGGTATCACTATACAGTTTGACGATTTATTTTCTCTTTCAAACATTAGTAAGATAATTAAACAAAGTTTTGTTATACTTATTTTACAATAGATAAAGCTCATAATTATTGCAGAAATGATGTTGCTACTACTACTCTTCACCAAGCATTCCATCATTAGCTACAGGGTGATGGGAGGAAATTGATCACCTATCCAGCCATTTTTAAAGGCTGAAGCACGCAACAACCAATTTTGGTAGACTCGGCTATACAAATTTAACCTTCTGTAATGATTTGCAACCAGTCTATGGTTTTCTTGAATGTAGTTGAAACAAAGAGAAAATGCAGAACTGGAAGCATATGCCAATTGCAATTTATCTGCAAGACATAGTTAAAGTCTTTGATTATACTTTTCACTTTTTTCATGCAATCTTTGTAATGAAGTTTGTTGACAACAACAAAAAAAACAGGATCATCTACAATACTAATAACTTTAAATAAATTATCTAAGGGAATACTAATAAATATAAATAAGTTATCTAAGGGACACTTCAATATAAAAAATGTGATCATACTATGGTGATGAATCATCAATTAAGAAATAGGATAAAGTTCAAAAAGGGATCATACTATGGTGATCAATTACTTATTTTGTTAATTACAATTGCCTCTTTAATGGCGCTATAATTAGCTATAATTATTTTGTTGGGATTATTTTCTTAATTTTCTTTTTGTTAATAATTTTGAGAAAAAGTTTGAAATCTCTTTAAAACATAACCTAAGCAAAGCCTCTATGTATACTCTGTTCTTTTCTTCTAGTTTCTACTCTTATACATTGAATTAATTGCTAGCCTAATACTTACATCTCCTTTTTGTACACTCGATTTAGCTTCTTGTGGTATCTAATCGGCAAACGTATTCATAGTTCTTACTAAGCCCTAAATCAGTAATTCCTAGTCCCTACTACCTAGAGGACGAACGAATCCAGCAAAAAAGATTATATTATCATCACAAAAACCTATATTTGTTTTTCGATTTTGGATGTGCACATATTAATTAAAAAACAGAGATAAGAGTTGTTGGAAAGAGCTGTTTTAACGAACAGCTAGCTAAAAATATAACAAAAACCTAAAATCAAGAGGAACTACTACAAACTGTTAAAGCTATCTATGGAAAACTATCACATTGGTCTGTACTTTGTAGTTTGTTAGTTTAATTATTTTTGTTATGCATTTAGGTGATTGCTTTATTGTCAGGGAACTAACCGCTTATTCATGTATGTTTCTTGGAACTCTATTTAAATAAAATGCAGTCTCAATTAAAAATAATCCCAAAAACCTAAGAACATGGGATTTGCGAAGGGAAGTTCTAAAGCATGTCTCTTTATTGAGTTCTTGTTCCTTCTAAATTGCGTCTTTGCTCAAGAAAACAGCAATGAGGAGACAAAGGTATGTAAAATGGTTTCTTTTTCTGCCTTTTTTGATGTTTTTCCTTAGTTATGTTATGTTTGGTCGACTAATGAATTTTTCTTTTGATTGAGGTAGGCTTATATAGTCCATTTAGGCGAGAGGCAACACGATGATCCTGAGTTGGTCTCTGAATCACACCACAGGATGTTGGAATCAGTTTTCGAAAGGTATATTATAAAAAAACAGGTTCTTGATTTTTCTTTTGTTGTTGATGATGATGGTGAATGTCTCAAATGTTTTCAAGCTGGTGATTAATTCTGCTGTTTGGTTTTGATTTTATGAAGCCCGGAAGCTGCTAGAGAGTCCATCATCTACAACTATCACCATGGATTTTCCGGGTTTGCAGCCATGCTTACAGAGTCTCAAGCTAAGAAACTTTCAGGTTTGTATTTTTGAATTTAAGGATAGTTTTATGAAGCAAACTAGTTTGTTTATAAATTAGAGCATTAGCATTGGTTAAGAATCTGCATGAGTCTCTCATCTCAAATTTTAATTTTCAAATAATGTTAGCCACTAAAAAATTGACACATAAAAAGAGTTTCTTGTAAAGAAAGACTTTCTACATACACATCTTCTAACATATTCTAATGAGTTTTGTTTCATGTCATTATCCAGACCGTCCTGATGTTTTCAGTGTCACATCAAACCGAAAGCTAGCGTATCAGACCACAAGAACATACGACTATTTGGGCCTTTCGCCAATTCTTCCCAAAGGAATCCTCCACGAAAGCGACATGGGAAGTAATCTTGTCATCGGTTTTCTTGACTCAGGAATATGGCCGGAGTCTCGAGCTTTTAGCGACGAAGGGCTTGGACCAATACCAAAACACTGGAAAGGAGGTTGTGTATCCGGAGTAAGGTTTGACCCAGCAAAGCATTGCAACAAGAAGTTAGTAGGAGCAAAGTACTTCCGTGACGGCTTGTTCGAGAAAAATCCAGGTGTCAATCTCAGCGATTTTGATTTTATGTCACCAAGAGGTTTAATAAACCACGGAACAATGGTCTCTTCGGTAGCAGCCGCTTCGTTCGTGCCTAACGCCTCATACAAGGGTCTTGCACCTGGACTCTTGAGAGGCGCTGCTCCAAAGGCTCGTATAGCTATGTACAAGATTGGTTGGGATACAACTACCCCTGGTGTTTCTGCTATGGTCGATTTTGTCAAAGCATTTGATGAAGCTATTAAAGATGGTGTTGATGTTTTGTCGGTTTCGATAGGATCAGGGGAACCTCCTTTCCGTCCATTTGACGCCGTTACGCAAGATATTGATATTGGGTCGTTCCATGCGGTGACTAAAGGTATTCCTGTTATAGCTGCGGGTGGTAACTCAGGCCCTGAAGCTTACACTATAGGTAATGTAGCTCCCTGGTTATTCACTGTCGGTTCAACTACCATTGACCGTACTTTTTACGTAGACATAACTCTTGGAAACAACGTAACCTTTATGGTATGTAACGTTTCTTTTTTTTTTTTAACTTTTTTATTTATATAGTGGAGTTGGAAACTTAACTGTCTTTGTAAAAAAAAATGTATTATAGGCTCAAGCTTTGTATAAAGGTGACGAAGTATTTGGTGAATTAGTTTACGTGGAAGATTGGGAAGCTTACACGTCTGATCTAAAGGGAAAAGTTGCCCTAACGTTTGTGAAAAATGATGAAGATGTGACGACTGCTTTCGGGCAATTAGGTGGCGCAGGGGTGATCGCTGCACGAAGTTCTGATTATCTTATTGATTTTTTCTTTGAATCTCCGAAGACCGCTATTGACTATGAAGTCGGAACTAAGATTCTACAATACATCCGCTCGTCAAGGTATTTTCTTATTTTTTTACTTTCCTAGCAGTGGCAAATTCATTGAAACATTTCAAGACAATAGCCTCCAAACTATTAAAATTTAGTAAAAATTTTATTAGATGTTTATGACCTCTAAAACCTCAACAAAGTTTTGCTTCCCAATCACATAGTCCCCACTAGTCCCCACTGTTTCAATATAAACATATTTTTGTTGCAAAATAATTAATATTCTCATTATTTAGATAAAATTTAATATCATTTTATACTATATTTTTGTTATTGGTTGAATAAGTTTATTAAAAAACTGATTGATTGTTTACTGATATATATATATATGTGTATCTTCAGTTCGCCAACGGTTAGGATAAGTGGAGGTAAAACGTTCGTGGGACCTAAATCAACAACAGTTGCAGGATTCTCATGTAGAGGGCCAAGTGCACCCTCTCCAGCCATTCTCAAGGTTGTTCTTTTTCTTCTCTCCAAAATATATTTGGAATATTTAACTATCGTTTTCAACAAAGCTGTGTATATGTTAATGTTTGCAGCCTGATATCGTAGCCCCTGGTGTGATGCTTTTAACAGCTGAGGCTAATGACAACAAGGGTTATCAAACAGATTTCAGCATAACTCAAGGAACATCCGTTTCCGCTCCCGTTGTTGCCGGAATCGTTGTACTACTCAAAGCTTTACACCCTGACTGGTCTCCTGCCGCTCTAAAATCAGCTATCATGACTACTGGTTCTTGACAACAAAACCCTTTTTTCTCCTCGTCATTAAAATAATATATATATTAAGTTAGATAGACTTCCAAGCTAAAACCAACTGAAGTTATTAAATAAATAACTTCATTGATCTTTAGCCTAATCTTGTGGTTTCTTGTTCTTGTTGTAGCGTGGAAGACCGATCCATCGGGAGAGCCGATTTTCGCGGAAGGGTTACCAAGGAAACTAGCGGATCCATTTGACTACGGTGCAGGACTAGTGAACGCGGAAAGAGCCAAAGATCCAGGACTAGTTTACGACATGAACATCGATGATTACATCTTCTACTTCTGCGCCTCTGGTTACAATGATACTGCAATCACTGTACTCACCGGGAAACCGACGAAATGCTCGTATCCGTTACCGTCTGTTCTTGACGTAAACTATCCAGCCATCACGATTCCAAACCTTAATAAAGAAGTGACGGTTACGAGAACGGTGACTAACGTTGGACCTGTGGATTCGGTTTATAGAGCCGTGGTCGAGGCTCCGGAAGGTGTGAAGATTGCTGTTGAACCGGAGACTCTGGTGTTTAACTCCAGTGTGAAGAAACTTGGGTTTAAAGTTAGGGTTTCGACGAGTCATAAGAGTGACACTGGTTACTTCTTTGGTAGCTTTACTTGGACTGATGGTACTCGAAATGTTGTCATTCCTTTGTCTGTTAGGTCTCGTGTTTCGGTGCCTTGATAAACAAGTTTCGTCATGTTCGTTATAAAAAGTTAAAAGTTTTTTCGTCTTTTTTTTTAAATCTTTTTTTTTTCATAAATGAAAAAATAAATAATAGGAAATGTAATCATATTCTCTTTGTTTGACTCTAACTGAAACCACATCAATAATAACAAACTGAAACTAAAAGATTCTCTCTCTCTCTCTCTCTCTCTCTCTCTCTCTCTCTCTCTCTCTCTCTCTCTCTCTCTCTCTCTCTC